GTGTGAATGGATGTTTATTTCAAATTTCCCTCAACATGGGGATCTTCTTCAGTTCAATCATACAGGTGTTCAGAGAGTAGAGAGTCTGTGTTTATTAGGTGTGTCCTAGTGAAACTTCTTGTAACCAAGATCTTGGCTTCTTGAAGTTTTTCGGTAAGATCTTGATTCGAGATTCGATAAGAAAATGTAAGAATTCAAGAAATTTCAAGAAGTCAAGATCTTGAACATCTTGTAATTTCTTGACTTCTTGTACCAACATCTTGGAAATTCTTGAATTCTTGTTTTGTTTTACACTCTTGTGTAAATATAAGTGCGAATATTTTCACACTTAAAATAACTTCGAATTTTTTTTCTTCTTGACCATAGTTTAAGGAAGAATCTACGACTCTATACAGTCGTATATCCAATGGCTGCGACTGTCATAAATAAAAACAAAATGTAAAGAAAATGTGCCCACTCAAGCGCTTGCAACATCTTGAGTGGATTCGCTCAAGATTTTGGCCAAGATCCTGAGTGACAGATTCAAGAATCCAAGATCTTGAAACACCTTGGCTTACACCACTCAAGATCTTGAAATTTCTTAACACAAGATCTTGGCCAAGATCTTGAGTAAAGTAAGCCAAGATATTTCAAGGTCTTGAGTGAAAGATTCAAGAATCCTAGATCTTGACTTCTTGATGTTTTTTCTAGATCTTGTGACATTTCTTAACCCAAGACCTTGGATACAAGAAGTTTCACTAGGGTAACTATTTCTTCTAATCTTCGTTGGGATATTCATGTAGACAGACTAGTTATTTCGCTTAGACGTCGTTTAGGTGCGATGAATGGAATGTTCAGAAATGCTCCAGCGGAAATTAAGCTACAAATCTATCGAGCGTGCATCGTGAATGTTATAGACTATGGGTCAATTGTTTACGATAGTTTGTTTACGTCTTTCTATTCTAGGCTAGCTTCTACGCATAGGCTAGCAGCACGTATGATTTTGTGTGACTTTTATTTTAAAGGTGATCTTCTCCATAAACTAAAGTTGCCAGATCTTGTCTCTCGTAGACGCTTCTTTCGCCTTCTACACTTTTATAAAGTGTTATTCGATATCTCTCCTCTATCTAAATTTTGTAACACTTTCATGCGCCACACAACCGCCAGTCTTCGACTAAACCAAAATCCTTTCTCGGTGCTTGTTCCTTTCACACCAAAGAAAAGTGTACAGGGATCATTCTTCTATCTAACAGCGGACGGGTGAACAAACTTCTGCCGCATGTCATTAGGAATCCTAATCCTGCTAACTCTTCCAATGTTCTTGTTGTTTCTTTACCAGTCTTTAAAGCTCGCCTACGCGCCCTTCTCTGTTACCAAATGTAAACGTTTATTGTTCTCTTAGATGTTCTAAACGGTTCTTCTAACTTTACTTGCTGTTTATTATACCTCCTCTTTTGTTTTGTGCGTTCATATTTGGAAAGATTTTTGTGAGCAGTATTTACAAGCTGGAGGCTTTTGCTGTTTCTCTGCCTTGATTTCAGCCAAATAAAATGAAATTGAAATTGAAATTGACTTTTTACTGCGAATGACTACACAGAGTGATGAGAATAAATTAAAGCCAAAGATCATGATGCTTTTATGACTGCTAGCCATCAGAGCTCCGTATTGACTGGACTGAAAATTTTTTGAGCTTATGAACTCGAACTGGACTAGAAAAAAGTTTTGGATTCACTTGAATCGAGAAATAATCAGGAAAAAATCATGTTGTTTTTGTATTGTGGACCGGACTCAGAATTTTGAGTCCATATGAAGCTCTGTTAGCCATCGAGGTGCTCTACAGACAAGTAAGCATGACGGAAGATAATCACAAGAGAAGAGTATACGACCAAAAAATAACTTTAGAACTGTACATGTATCATAAAATAAATAGTATTTCCACGAATTGCACGATAAGGCTGTCTTATTTGGTTTTTTTCAAATACTTAATCGAGTCGAGACAAATAGACAAAAGGTTATATTAGAACTGTGTCATTGTTCAATAAACGACAAAAAACAGTTTCCTTTCTGCAGAGTATTTAAGTGGGGAAAGACTGAAAAATAAAATGTTTCTTGAACTGACACAGAAAGATTTTAAGGATTGGACATTGACAAATGACTTGAATGGATTATGCATAGAAAATGTTAGCAACAAAAACTGCTTCTGTCCGAGAAACTGAAGAACTTTGAAAGAGCATTTTCGAAAAAAATGTTTAAAGATATTGATAGAACAAACTTCTCTGGTTTGTGAGGCAACAAAACTAAAAAAGTTAAAATAAAATTAGCTGTTCGAGTAGAACACCAACAACACCTATGATCGAATGTATCGTGTTAAGCATTGTTTTTTCGGACAGTATCTTAACGTGGTGAATTTGTTTAGTCATAGTGAAAAGTTTTCGAAGTCTGATATAATGAAGGAAAAATCCTATAAAATATCATTTAACCAATAAAAAAGTTATAAAAAGTGACTTACACACGCTTATTCTGAACTATCACTGCGTCATACTACAGCTTTAATCACGATTAAAATTAATCATGATTAAAGTTAATTATGATTAACGATTTTGTTGTGCGACCGCATCCTTTTTTAAGCATGATTAGAGCAGTCACACTACATTTAATCGCGATTAACACTAATCTTGATTACGCTATTCATTTTTCAATCATGCATTAAGTTAATCATGATTAGTGAATTAATCGTGATTAAAGCTGTAGTGTGACCGTAGTGTATGAAACATAACCTGGAAAGAGAACAAAAAAGACACAAAGCAACAACTAAACAAGAAAAATTAAAAAAATGATAATTATAATTATATATACTGTCTAATAAGGAATAATCACCAGCTTTTAAAATCATTAGAATATCAGGGTAATAATAGGAAACTTTCTTCCTGGATATAACCTGTTGCGCGTATACTGCCATAAGAATTTCATAAACCGGATGCTCATGTGGGATTCATTACTCTTGTTTTATGCCTTGAAACATCAACGAAAGAAAAATAGTCGTACATAATAAAAACAAGATCTTGATAGATCCGTCTCCGTCTCGCTGAATTGTGCATTTTTCTAGCAAACGAATTGTGTATTACAACATGTTTATGAGAACAACGGCGAAATGTAGGACGTTCCGAGACATACATAGAAATATCATTGTAAAGAAACAATGTATTTACTGAACAACAATAGATTTTCACAATGAGAAGAGCTAAGGAAAAAAATGGTCTTTAGATAGTATCAACGAACTACATAGAACATTTTAGGCACAGAGATGCTTTTAAAAAGAATTATATTTAACTACATCCGTGTTTACATTCATAACCTAAACCTAACCGAACCTGCAGGGCTCTACTTCTCACCAGTTACCTCTAGCGCGTCTTTCTACTCTTGGTGTTAAGAATGAAATGTTCATGTGATTTTCTAGTTATTTGTCTAATTGTACTCACCAAATTCGCATCGGTGATTCCCTTTCTACTCGCTCGTTTATTCCATCAGGGATGCCCCAGGGTTCAATCCTGGAGCCCATTTTCTTCCTCATTTCCATCAATGATTTACTCGATCACATTTCTCTACCTTCGATTGCTTCTCTTTTTGACGATGACTCTACTCTACTCTCTCCTGCAATCGTTCTTGCGCCTCTAGCTAATTGTCAATCATACATAAATTCTGTCGAGGAATGGTGCACTTCACATCTTATGTCTATCAATACTTCTAAGTGTGAATGGATGTTTATTTCAAATTTCCCTCAACATGGGGATCTTCTTCAGTTCAATCATACAGGTGTTCAGAGAGTAGAGAGTCTGTGTTTATTAGGTGTGTCCTAGTGAAACTTCTTGTAACCAGGTGCTGCTTTTTCTCCCTTAGGAATTCGTCTTACAAGATCATGTAAGATCTGCCGTTTTCATATAAAATTTTGTGAAAAGATCTCAGTGCATAGTCTTACAAGATCGTGTAAGAGCATGCGAAAGCTTGTAACTTCTTGTCATATAAGATCTCAAAAGATTAGCTTATAATAAGAGACAAGATCATATAAGAACTTGTGACAAGAAATCGTACAATCTTGCAACATCTTGTAAAACCTTGTCAACGAGAGTGTTGACTCATATGTAGCTCTTCACAAAATCACATGATTTTTCTGTCGCAAGATTCTATATGGTCTTGCAATAGTGATGATTTATTCTAAACGCATTAATTTTGCTTCGATATCTAGTATATACACAACATCATTCTTATGATGAAACTTAGACTTTTTCTTTAACATCACACATCAACTGAGCACAAAGAACGTGCATGGTTCTGAGGCACGTAGTCTAACACGGGTATTAAGAACATAAGAGTGAACACTTTTTTTTGTCCAGCAAGAGCCTATAATTGTATATGGATGTGTATCTGACAGTCATGGATGTCATAAATGAACACAAAATGTAAAGAAAATTTTCCATCCAAGATCTTGTAACATCTCGAGCGCATCGGTACCCAAAATTTTTACAAAGAAGGAATGGTTTTGCACAGCATTGATTCTCCATTACTTGTATTTTGCATTATATTATACATTTATTACCACAGAAAGCCTTTAATGTACAGCATTAGTCGATAGAATTAGACTAAGGGTTTACAACATACAATATCCAATTTACTTCAAGAAATAGAAAAACAAACACTTGTTCACAATCGAATCCGCGTAATGAAACGTAGAATAAATTCATTGTGAATTCGTTTTTATCTTATCATCAGTTGAGGATGATGTTATCGATATTTCAGTAAGTTCTGAGCAGAGTTCATTATCTTTAGTCTTTGGTAATATACGATTATGTCGGATCATATTTGATATTGTGGATTTTGAATTGTCTTTTGATGATGAATTTTGTTGTTGAAATTGTTGCGCCTGTTTTCGTTTGGTTTCCAAATATTCAGCTATCGTTGTACGAAATATGGCTATTACCGATTCAGGTGAGCTCTTTGATAATGGTGGATGACGTAGAGCACGTCGAAAATTTGTTATTAATATCGAACAATCTTCGCATGGTACATTCTTTAACAGTTCTGTTAATTCCACTTTCAGTATATCTGGTAAATGATAAGTATCGGTAGATTGAAGAAGACTTGTCGGACTAAGCCAACTATAATCGACCGATGAATGACGTTTACCTGAATAATCTGGATGGATATTGATTTGTTCAGAATTATGTTTCATTGCTGATGCGCTATTTGCGTGACCGCCTGATATGGAATTTCTACCAAAATAGTGTTTACATTGAGATTCCAATTCGTCTAATAATGTTTCAGTTGCTGAATTTTCATCGACACATGCATAATTGGAACTATGCGAAATAGGATCAGAACGTCGAAATAAATTACTAAATGCCATCAACACATTCGACTTTCTAACAAAAACAATAAAAATAAAATCAGAATATAATCCTCAGGTTTTCTCGACTCCAAATATGTCATATCATTATCTGGAGAGGTTTCTATATAAGTCAAAAAGAGCAGCACCTACCTATCACCGTCATAGAAAGACTTGTTTAACTACCCAAAACCATCAGGTATAGAGATGTGCAACCCGACTCGTACCCGAGCCAATCCAAAGGTTGGGTATGGGTAGAGCAGTTAGGGGTACAGGTTTCGTTTTTTTTATTTACCCGAAAACCGGAAGGTTTCAGTGGAAAACCACAAAATTTTAGTGGAAAAATACAAGATTTTAGCGAAAATACATGAAGTTTTAAAAAACAGTTACTTGAGAACGTAATAATCATTTGTCATCTCTAGCCGCAAAACAAAAGTTTTTAACTGGAAAGCGAAAAGAAGAAAATTTTTAGGCATAAGTCGGGTACGAGTGGAAAAAAAATTTTCGGGTAGTACGAAAACGGTACCCGTGCACACCTTTAATCAGATATGTGTGAAAATGTTTGCTCATTAAGAATTTACGTTTACAAAAATCTGACGTTGAGGTATTGAGAACTGTATGACGTATAGTATTCATTTTTTATCTAAGTAAACATCATGTGTGAATGATAATTAGTATAAAAATTTGAGTTTAGTCATGTATATTGTGTCTCTTTAACTTAACTTTTATTTTTACAGAAAATATCGCCACTGGACAAACGAAAAATATTCTTTGCCAGAAAAAGCTAGTAGTAGTATCTAAAGAAAGCTTTTTCTATAATGAATTAAACAGATGCCAGATATATTAGAAGAACTTCATCAAAACACTATTTTACATGTTGACATAACAATATTGTATACATCTGGTACTTAAATAGCACTGTCAAGATTTTATTAAATATAAAGTTACAACCAAACATTTTTAAGATGTGGGAAATTCAAAATTTGCAGCGCAAGTTATTTTCGCGATATTTAGATTTATTCACTCTTAAAAGTTTTTTTTCTAAGGGCAAAATACACATATTCTTACTCAGCTCGACGAAAATAGCTTGTACTTCCATTTTGAATTCCCCATACCTTATGTATACTTGACTGTTTCTGCTAGTCAGAAATGCCTTTTATGTGGGATATAATGGATTATTCCGATTTGCCGTATGCACTATGTTATTACGCTTTACTTTTCTATCCACGAATAAACGTTTAGATTAAAAAAAATGTCATTAAAATTTTAGGTTATTACCACCGACTATGTCTTTTTTTAATTTTAATACGGTGGCGACCATGTTTTAGGGCTTCTAGCAAAATCCTCAAAACTTTTGACATCATCCGGCTCTGGAAGGCGTCTCATTTTGATCATCCATGTTTGTTCTATATTCTAGTGCCACTGAAAGTATTTTTGAATACCTTTTCTTATCAAAAGATAATATTTTCCGAAAAGTTAGTTTTTCAAGGCTTTCAGGAAACACGATATTCGTGTTCAGCATTGTCGACTGCAAAAGTTTACAAACAAAATTTGTCAAGGTTCCTGAATAAAACCAAAAGCGTAAAAATATCAATATTTAATAAGGTTTTTTTTGGAATATATTTCCTATATCATTCTGACATGTTTCTGACCGAAAAAAAACAGATCTGTTCAGCGAAGTTTTCTACTTACTTACCCTAAACTTATGCTCCTGAGAAAGTGGAGAAGTATCAATAATTCTGCGTTCAAAGACAATATTCATTTGAATTGAAGCGTGGGTTCTAGAGGGCATGATAAAAGAGTTATTATAAGAGAAGAAAAAATATTTCATTTCATATAAGATAAAAATCAAATGAGAAACTATGTCATACTCGAAGAAAAAGTTTGTCAGCGTTGCTCTAAATGGCAAAAATATGAAAAACCTTCTTTTGGGGTATACGCATAGCAGACACTACGCGGTTCGTATCCTGTCCGTCTGCTCGCCGGTAAGGTTTGTGAAAAGAAAGTGCAAAACAGCCATTTAGTCCCAAAAATCTCCTTAAACTTAAAACTTCGTTTCTCCTTCCGGAGGAAAGCCTTGAAAGTTTTTACAAAACGGACGTTAGCATAAGTAACCAGATCTTTTCAATTCATAAAAGCGATTTCCTGATCAACTTACGCCATGAGTGAGTTGTTAGATGGAGAACTGATCAAAACTTAATAGTCTTACAATCTCATATTCAATAAACTTTTTTTAATTCCGTTAGAATATTAGATATATACAATACAGTTCTATTTCGTCTAATTCTACGTGATCAACATTTTTTTTTAAATTTTATTATTTGCAATTGCAAGGTTAATCAAGATAATCGCGTTTTTAATACTTTTTTTAATGTAAAAGACGCTTAGTACATCTAGTTTTCTTGCTATAGAATTATCTCATCTATATAAAATCTTTTTTCGTAAAATAAAAAGAAATGAAGCAGAATATGAAAAGAAATTCCAAAAGAGGAAACTTATAGAGTGATGCATGTAATAGAAATGACGGTGTGCGTTCTGCTTTCTATATACATTCATCAATTTCTAATTTTTACCATTTCTCTTCTTGTTCTAATTATTTTTTACTCACGTTCCATTTTTAACTTTTATTTCATCATCATACAATAGAAAAGATCATATTTACCTCTTTTTGCATAAAAATGAAGAAACAAGACAAATTGATAATCATTATTCTAGAAACATTATGGATGGATACATGAGAGACTGACTATAATTGTGTTGACTAGTCAGACTATTATAGGCACGAAGATAGTCATGTTTTATTAAGTAGATTATTTTTATAACAGTATAAGTGATTTTGCATTGATAAAATCATTATAGTTATTTGTTTCTGACTTGAACGTCTTCCATATTAGCCTATTTAAACTATGACAAATCTATGTAGAAGAAAGGAGAATACTCTGCCTTGTGGCTACCGTTACGGTGTCAATATCAATAACTAGATAGCTTTCGTATTGCTGATAGGACAAGTTTATCCATATTGCTACTATTCATCAACTGCAACTCTGTACTGTTAGTCTGTTATTCATATATCTATGTGAATACATCTTAAATTAGTAATAAATGTGTAAAAGTCAGTATAAGTTTTAAGAATAGATTCTTGTTTGACGTCAATGCTACTTCTATGAGGTCGTTAATGACGTAAATATCATAAATGTCACTTTCTCATTATTCTTTTTTTCTTCCTGTTTTTATCTCAACTAATCTCTATACAAAATCTGAGTAGGTTTTTGCTACTGTTGCCATCTGCTCACTTATCCTCTATACGATGCAAAAACTCGAGGTTTTT